ATACTCTACTTGGCTGTACACGTTCACTAAAACCCAGTAAAACTTGCCCTAGTTTGCGGCAATCCTATCATTCTAATTACGTCCTTCTAATTTCCCACTACAAAAACTAATATTAATAAGAGGAATGGGTACTAGCTCTCAGCGTAACGATTTCTGGGATTATTTTGGTTGACAAGCGTTGCCTATGATCCAACCACTGACCAATCATAAGTAAAGCTTAACGATCACAAAATCGTTGCGTCGACAGCTTGTACCCATTCCCCTACTTACAGTTTCTGGATTGGGAAGTTGGGCTACGTCCCCAGGCAACATCGGCTTTCTTTTTATCTTCCTGTTGTTATCAAAGCCTTTGGGCATGCAAGGTTCTCTGTACTTCCCAGTCAACATTGCGTGTGGCCAATACCATTTCCCGCCAAAAATTTCGCCCTGGCTTTCCTAATGAGGTGAACTGTAGGTCACTCGCACGTACGGTGCATTTTTGGCTTCGACGGGTTCTAGCCTAGTCCCTAGGCCTCTCATTATTCCGTCAGGCCTTTGTGTTTCGGGTCACGTGGTACGAGCCAGTTTCTTCGTCTGGATACGTCATCGAAATACTTTGACGGAGAAGGCCTAGAAAGACGCCGTACAGGGAATAAGCAAATTTTGGTCCAATTCTTGAACATGGGCATTTGTAAAGGTTGCTGACTACTGTCGAATCTCCCGTAAGCGACAACCCAAAAGGTAAAAACTTAGGGTCGCTTACGGCAGGTGGCCGCTTACAAGAATCGAACCACAGGTCTCTTCCGAGAAGAGGTCCGAGCACATCTTCTTTATGGAAGATAATTTATTGCATGCAATTTCTAAGTTACGCCCTGTGTGGTCCCATGGTGTTATTAAAGTTTCGTATATTCAAAGCAGCACAATGCACACGGCGAACATAGAGATCACAGAATGCGTCACTTAAAAACAATAGCAAATCATTAACTTTCAGGCCCAAAAAGTGGGTGGTCGTGGTCGCTTACAGGAGGTGGTCGTTTTCTAGGGGTTTCAACTGTAAGGCTTTGACTGGGAAAGTTTCGTTTTTTGGATAGGCGGCCGCTTATTAGTCCGCGGCCAGCAAAACGTTTTCCCCAAACTCGCACAATTTCCCCTGCTCGCAGGGGAGTCGCTAATTTTATGGGAGATAGAAGGCCGCTTACGAGAGCTGGTCACACATGAATGTTCGACTGTAAATCATGAGGAATTTTAAATTTATGTAAAATCCTATAGTCATTTCACTGCTATTGAGTGTTTTATTTGGCAGAAATGATTAGTCTCTATGCTTTTAATATTTCAAACGAGAGCTAAGTAGAAATAAAAACACATTAACCTTGAAATTAATATAGGAGGCAAGCACTAATTACCCACGGTTCTCCTAGGGTTGATTGCAGACGTTACGAAAAACTGGGAATCGAACATCTCGTTCCCAGGGTTGTTGAAAATATGGATAGCTCTCTCCTCTAGATAATGCACTATCCAGCGGATACATATATTAAGTATTTTCAATTTGAAAGACAAATTGTAAGGTAATCCACTAAATAGGGATAGTGCTCTCCACCAATGGAACATCCGGGGCATGGTGGTACTGCAAGCAGGTGACGAAACATACAGTTTAGCAGGTACAAGTTAGAGTCAAGTCAGAAAGAGCGATTACCTTAGTCCACCTGGAGCGTAGAAACTTAGTAGCAGATAATGAAAATCTCTAAAATTTGCTAACGCAATGACGTAAATACAGACTGAGCTTTCAAGGGCCCATTATTCACGACTCACCACCAGAGCAACAAACCGATCAGAAAATATCTCAAGATATTCTGCTAACTGACAGACTTGATTTTTTCATTTATTTTCTACTAATATATGTCACCTTTCAGTTAAGAACAACATGATTTTCCGGTGTGTACCGCGGGCAAGATAGATCTATGCAACCGGTGTTTTGCCATTGACAATAAGTTTTCATTAAACTCGGACGTTCAACGACGTTAAAAGACAAAGTGAAAATATAAAGTACTATAATTGAATGATTTCATGATCAGTTTCTGAGATTTATGAGCGCATTTCTCAGCAGTGACTACATATATGTAATTTTGTTCATAAAAAGATTAAGGGGAAGCACCTAAAATAACAGCCTTATTTAAAGTCTTTAAAAAAGACGAGACCGATATGAGTAATTGACCAAGCGCGAGGTCAAGATAGACTAGTTGGTCCATTAGTAACATTAGCGACCTTTAGATTCTATTAAAGACGAGGTCACGAGGACGAATACTAGGAGGAGATTTTTAAGTAGTGCGCTCGCGTCTGAACCAGTATCATTTGGCGGGAAACTGTGATAGCCGTCGTCATTTCACATCGAGTTTGACTGAGAATGTCGTAGCGACGGAAACAAGAAGTAGTCGAATGTTAGAAGTGTTATTATTTTTCGATGAGGAAAAAACTTCAAGTCAAATCTCGTTCGTGGTCGAATTCGTCCTCTAATCTAAAGGTCTCTGTTTTCTTATCTTTACTTTTCCTTCTTTTTTCCCCTCGGGGAAATGCTATTTATTCCTTTCTTCTATCGCCAACTAAAAGAATGAACGCGGTGAATGTCAATTTTGCTCTCGACTGTTGCAGAATTATTTCAGTATCTTTGTCTAGATTCCCTCAAGTGCCTGAATATAAACTAAATCTTTTCTCGAATGATTTTTTGAAAGAACTTCAGATTTGAGGCAGCTGAACAGATTAAAAGGGTGATAAATTTTCTCTGTAAAAATTAAGCCACCCAGGTGTCTTCAAAAGGGCATTGAAAATGGTCGTCATTTATTTATGTTAAATCCATTAAAGCTTATAATTGAAGCTAATTGATGAGGAATATTTGTTATTCATAATACAACATGCATTTTAACCTAATTATATATCACTAACGTTTTTGCTTGTTCGTTGCTAGATTTATCGCAGAAAATGAGGGGGAAAATATGATTTCTTTTTCATTCATGGTAGGAAATACCATTATTTTCTGTACCTCCGGCTTGATTCGAACTGTTTAATAGATCGAAAGCTTTCAAGCCGGTCGCAGGCTAGTCGCTTATGGGGGATGGTGATCGCATTCAAGAGGTGGTCGCATATGGACGTTGGACTGTAATTATAAATGGCCATAATTATTAGACAATTATGGGAGACGAGTAAATCATGAGGAATTTTAAATTCATATAAAATCCTATAGTCATTCCACTGCTATTGAGTGTTTTGTTTGGCAGAAATGATTAGTCTCTATGCTTTTAAAGTTTTGAAACGAGAGCTAAGTGGAAATGAAAACACATTAACCTTGGAATTAATATAGCAAGCAAGCAGAAATTTAACAACCCACGGCTCTCCTGGGGTGATTGAAGACGTTACGAAAAACTGGGAATTGAACATCCCCCCCCCCACCCCCCAGTTTGTTCAAAAGATGGATAGCTCTATCCTCCAGCTAAAGCACTATCCAGCGGATACATATAATAAGTATTTTCAATCTGAAAGCCAATTTGTAAGGTAATCCACTAAATAGAGATAGTGCTCTTCACCAATGGAACAGGCAGGGCATGGTGGTACTGCAAGCAAATGACGAAACATCCCATTTAGCAGGTACAAGTTAGAGACAAGTCAGAAAGAGCGATTTCCTATAGTCCACCTGGAGCGAAAAACCTTACTGAGGAGAAGATTAATGAAAATCTTTAAAATTTCTAACGCAATGACGTAAATACAGAACTTTCAAGCTTGCATTAGTAACGCCTCACCACCAAAGCAACAAACTGATCAGAAAATATCTCAAGACATTCTGCTAACAGACTTGATTTTTTCATTTATTTTCTATTAATATATGTCACCTTTCAGTTAAAAACAACATGATTTTCCGGTGTGTACCGCGCGCAAGATAGATCTATGCAACCGGTGTTTTGCCATTGACAATAAGTTTTCATTAAATTAAACTCGGACGTTCAACGACCTTAAAAGAAAAAGTGAAAATAAAAAGTACTATAATTTATTGAGTTCATGATTGGTTTCTGAGTTTTATTTGCCCATTTCTTAGTAGCGACTACATGTAATTATATGTAATTTAGTTCATAAAAAGATGAAGGAGAATCACCTAAAAATTAACAGCCTTATTAAAAAGTCCTTTTAAAAAATAGGAAACATATATGAGTTATTGACCAGGCTCGAGTTCAAGATGGCTATTGACCAAGTTCATTTTTACGTTTTTCAAGATAGAGACGAGACGAAGTAGAGGTCAATAAAATCATTTTCCTTCATTTGACCCTATTATCGTTGAACTCATTGAAGAAAGCTTGTAAAAACTCACTCCAAATTTGGATATTTTCTTTATCCTGGCTTTATCTGTGGAATGAACAGTTTGCTTGTGGGGAAACATGATAGCTCTAGCTACTTTGAAATGCTTTTTAATCCATCGGATCCAGAGATTTATATAGTATTTCTTTCTTTTTGTGCAGAATGGTTGTATAACAGTTTCGAAAGTCTTCTTCTGGTGGGGGTAAATTTGCTGATATTGCTGTTTCTATTTCGTAGGAGGCATCATAGAATCAAACGTTTTAGACTGGTTGGTCCATGGTTAGTAACATTAGTGACCTTTAGATTCAAAGACTCACACGTGCCTAAATAACTGAATCTTTTCTCGAATGATACTCAGAAAGAACTTCAAATTTGAGACCAGCTGAAAATCAGATTTAAAAGATGATAAATTTTCTCCATAAAAATCCATTCAGGTGACTTCAAAAGGGCATTGAAAATGGTCGTCATTTATTTATGTAAAATCCTTTAACTTATAATTGATGAGGAATATTGGTATCTCATTTGATTCGAGCTCTTTAATAGATCGAAAGCTTTTAAGCTGGTGGCCGAATAACTTTATACCTGTTTTAAAAGCTAATCTCAAAGCAGTGACGTAAGGCTAGAGGCTCGGCGGTTTACTTAAAAATCATTCATTTTGTTATGTTTATTCATTTTAAACTTGC